AGTCTTCACCTCTGTTGGCCCAGCCTGAGTGGCAGTTGGCGCGATCCTTCGGCTCACTGCAACCTCCGCTTGCGGTTCAAGCGATTCTGTCTGCCCTCAGCCTCGCGAGTAGCCCTGGCTACAGGCATGTTAACCCACCACCACCGCTAATTTTTTGTGATTTTAGTACAGGTTTTCACCGTGTTAGGCCAGGATGTTCTCGATCTGACCCCTCATGGTCTGCCCACTTCAGGCCTCCAAAGTGGCTGATTACAGGGCATAAGCCACTGGCACCAGCCTTTTTCTTTTTTTTTTTTGGGTTGTTGAGGACCGTCCCACTCTGTCACCGAGGATGAAATCTTGGCTCACTGCAACCTCCACTCCTAGGCTCAACGCGATTTTACTTCCTTGCCTCCGCCTTCCCACTAAAGTAGCTGGGATACAGCATGTTACCCACCACACCGTGGCTTAATTTTTGTGTTTTTAGTTAGAGACGGAGTTTTCAGCCACATTGGCCAGGCTGGTTCTCAAAACTCCCTGGGACTCAAGTTTGGATTCCACCTCGGCCTTCCAAAGAGCTGGGATTACAGGTTGTGCGCTCGGCAGAGCCTCTGGCCGCCCTCCCCATTTCCTGACCGGCAAAGTTCAGGTGCTTTTCTCACTGTGGAATCGTGTCGGGAGAGAGGGAGAGAGGGAGGCAAACTTTCTGTAAAGGGCCGGAGAGTAATATTTTAGGCTTTGGTGGACCAGACAGGTCTACACCAACAACCCTCCGCAGTGGTGCTTTGGGGTAAAGGCGCCACAAACCATGTGAGCAAAATGGGCATTGTCTGTGTTCCAGTAAAGCATGATTTAGGGGAACCGGGGGCAGACTGGATTTCACCCTGGACCATGCATGGCTGGCCTTGGCTTTTGTAGGTGACCTCGTACTTTGCTGTTACGTCACGAGACTGTCTCTTCAAGTACATTGTAATCACGGGGGGGAACAAAGACCACGTGCTGATTTCGTGGAACACTCTTCTCCCAACCTGGGCCTTCACCACTCCCCTCCGCATTTCCAACTGCTTTCCAGGTGACACTGTGATACTGTCCTTTAAACCAGCAGTCCCCAGCCTTTTTTGGCACCAGGGGACGATTTCATTGGAAGACAATTTTTCCTATGAATTGGTGTGGAAGAGGGGGGGGACTGTTGGTTTCAGGATGATTCAAGCACATTCAAATTACTGCCACCTTTTTTCGATTACAATGACACTGTAATACATAATGAAAACAATTCTACAACTCACCATCATATAGACTCAGTGGGAGCCTGAGCTTGTTTCCTTACACTAGGGGTGACGGAAGACAGCGACAGATCATTCATGGCACTAGATTCTCCTAAAGGAGCGTGAACCTCCATCCCTCGCGTGCCAGTTCACAGGAGGATTTCGGCTCCTGTGAAATTCTTAACGCCCTGGCTGATCTGCAGGAGGTAATGCCAGCGATGGGGAATGGCTGTAAAAACAGATGAAGGTAGGCAGGCACCGGTGGCTTCATGCTTGTAATCCCAGCACTTTTGGAGGGCGAGGCGAGGCAGATCATGTGAGGTCAGGAGTTTGAGACCAGCGGCTAACCAACATGGAAAAACCCATCTCTACTAAAAATACCAAAATTAGCTGGGCATGGTGGCCATGCCTGTAATCCCGGGCTACTATGGAGGCTGAGGCAGGAGAATCACTTGAACCCAGGAGGCGGAGGTTGTGGTGAGCCGAGATCCTGCCACTGCACCCCGCCTGGGCAACAAGAACGGAAACTCTGTCTCAAACAAAACAAAACAAAACAAAAACAGATGAAGGGTTCACTTGCTTGCCACGGGCTCACTTCCCACTGTGCACAGTTTCCTAACAGGCACGGGACCAGTACTGATCCATTGGCTGGGGCTGGGACCCCTGGCTTTTTTGTGTGTGTGTGGTGTGTGATGGAGTCTTGCCCCTGTCGCCCAGGCTGGAGTGAAGTGAAATGTCGTTGTCTTGGCTCACTGCAACCTCCGCCTCCTGGGTCCAAGCGATCCTCCACCTCAGCCTCCTAAATGGCTGGGATTAACAGGCATGCACCACTATGCCTGGACAATTTTTTTGTTATCTTTTAGTAGAGATGGGGTTTCACCACGTTGGTCAGGCTGGTCTCGAACTCCTGACCTTGTGATCCGCCTGCCTCGGGCCTCCAAAGTGCTGGGATTACTAGGCATGAGCCGCTGCACCCAGCCTGCACCCCTGCTTTAAACCAAAAGATGTGAAGGATCTGGAATACTCACCATTTAATATCCTGTCCATATCAGCAAGAGTTAGTCTGTGGTGATGAAATTTGCAATCTTTTAGAAATCTCCAGAAGTGAAGCTTTGTCATCAGAAAGGTATTATCCAGAGAGTGGTCGCATCCCAGGCTGCTATAAAAGCTGTAGATTCTTCTTAATTCTGTAATATTTCTTAACACAGCATATTCTACCTGAAAGGAAGAAAGTCATGCGTGGATTAAGAACAAAAGACGGCCAGGCACGGTGGCTCACGCCTATAATCCCAGCACTTTGGGAGGCCGAGGCAGATCACCTGAGGTCAGGAGTTCCAGACCAGCCTGGCCAACATGGTGAAACCGCATCTCTACCAAAAATACAAAATTAGCCGGGCGTGGTGGCAGGCGCCTATAACACCAGCTACTCAGGAGGCTGAGGCAGGAGAATTGCTTGAACCCGGGAGGAGGAGGGTGCAGTGAGCCAAGATCACATCACTGCACTCCAGCCTGGGCATCAAGAGTGAGACTCTGTCTCAAAATAAATAAATAAAATTTAAAAATTATAAAAAGAACAGCCAGGCATGGTGGCTCACACTTGTAATCTCAGCACTTTGGGAAGCTGAGGCAGGCGGATCACGAGGTCAGGAGATCGAGACCATCCTGGCTAACAGGGTGAAATCCCGTTTCCACTAAAAATACAAAGCAAGACTCCGTCTCAAAAAAAAAAAAAAAAAAATTAAAAAAGAACAAAAGACACAACACCTGTGACCTACATTAAATGCGATAATACAAGTAAAGTAATGGCATTTAGCTCTTTCCACTGTAAGGACTTAAGAAGTGTTTTTTGTTTTGTTACGAGATGGAGTCTCGCTCTGTCACCCAGGCTGGAGTGCAGTGGCAAGATCTTGGCTCACTGCAACCTCTGCCTTCTGGGTTCAGGCGATTCTCATGCCTCAGTCTCCAGAGGAGCTGTGATTACAGGTGCACACCACCATGCCCGGCTAGTTTTTGTATTTTGGTAGACATGGGGTTTCACCATATTGGCCAGTCTGCTCTTGAACTCCTGACCTCGGGCGATCCGCCTGCCTCGGCCTCCCAAAGTGTTACAATTACAGGCATGAGCCACGGTGCCCGGCCAAGAAGCATTTTATTCTTTCCACCCACCCGCCTTGGTCAATAAAATGCCATCTCCGACCAACAGTAAAAACAAAACAAAACAAACAAGTTATCTGGAAAACAGACTTCCTTTCACACGGCATGTGCTGGCTTCCGCTCTCAGTGGTGGCAACAAAATTCTACTGTCTGCAGATCCTTATTCCTCATCAACACATGTGCGAAAATCCTCAACAAAATAACTGGAATCCAGCCATATATAAAGAATAGTAGCCATGTGTGCTGGCTCATGCCTGTCATCCAGCACCTTGTGAGGCCAAGGTGGGAGGATCGCTTGAGCCTGGGAACTCGAGACCAGCCTGTGCAACACAGTGAGACCGTGTCTCGACTGAAAATTAAAAATTAAAGAAATTAACCAGGCACCGTGGCGAGTGCCCATATAGTCCCAGCTACTCAGGAAGCTGAGGCGGGAGGATTGCTCGAGCCCAGAAGGTCAAGACTGCAGTGAGCTGAGATCGCACCACTTCACTCCAGCCAGGGTGACAGAGCAAGACCCTATCTCGAAAAGAAAAAAAAAAAAAAAAAGATAATACAGCAACACCAAGTAGGGTTTAGTCTAGAATTGCAAAGTTGGTTCACATTTGAAAAATCAACCAAAGTAATTCACACTATTGACAGACTGGAGAAGAACCAAATGATTCTATCAGCTGAAGCATTTCACAGAATTTAACATTCATTCATGATAAGCACCCTCAGCAAATTAGGAATAGAAAGGAATCCCTCAGCCTGATCAACAGCATGTACGAAACATGCAACTCACATCCCATGTAGGGCTGAAAGTCTGAAAGAAGCAAAAGTCCGCCATGTGCGGTGGCTCACGCCTGTAATCCCAGCACTTTGGGAGGCCGAGGTGGAAGGATCATCTGAGGTCAGGAGTTGGAGACCAGCTTGGGCAACATGGTGAAACTCCATCTCTACTAAAAATACAAAACATAGCTAGGCGTGGTGGTGCGTGCCTGTAATCCCAGCTACTCAGGAGGCTGAGGCAGGAGAATCGCTTGAACCCAAAAGCCGAGATCATGCCATTGCATTCCAGCCTGGGCAACAAGAGGGAAACTCCATCTCAAAAAAAAAAAAAAAAGCAGCAATATTCATGCTGGTTGCTTTACTCACCTCCCTCTCTGTCACATTTCACCTTTTAGGGTTTTCCCCAGACCCTTCATGCCCTTAAGCTGCTCCAAATTCCCCACACAGGCAGCCCTGCCCTCCGCACAGCGTCCTGTTCTCCAGAACCACTCACCCCATGCCCTACCCTCTTCAATGAGACACTCAGAGAACGCGAAGAACAGGATTTGGGGTCCCAAGGGAGACAGGCAGCCCTGCCCTCTGCACAGCGTCCTGTTCTCCAGAACCACTCACCCCATGCCCTATGCTCTTCAATGAGACACTCAGAGAACGCGAAGAACAGGATTTGGGGTCCTAAGGGATACAGGACGCCTTGCCTGGGCAGCTTCAGGCATCTGTTACACTGAACATTAATTCCTGCTTTTGAAAATGCAGTTCAATTGAATAAACATGTATCATCTGCCTGATCTAAAGCACTGTTCTAGGCTGGGCGTGGTGGCTCACACCCATCATCCCAGCGCTTTGGGAGGCTGAGGCAGGTGGATCACCTGAGGTCAGGAGTTCCAGACCAGCCTGGGCAATATGGTGAAACCCCGTCTCTACCAAAATACAAAAAAATAGCCAGGTGTGGTGGCGCACGCCTGTGATTCCAGCTACTCGGGAGGCTGCAGTGGGGGAATTGCTTGGACCCGGGAGGCAGAGGTGGCAGTCAGCCGAGATTGAGCCATAGCACTCCAGCCTGGGCAACAGAGCAAAACTCGGTCTCAAAAAACAAAAAAAAGACATTCAACACGTGACAGCAGTCACCAGCTATATTTCCCCAGGATGCAATTGATACCAATAAAAAAGATTTTACCTGCTTCTTTTCTTCAGGTCGGGCTGCCTCAGGGTACATGTCCAGGAGCAAATTTAGATCCAGCTCGATGCTCGACCCCAACACAGAATGACTTTCACTGCCATCAAGCTTTCTGATCAGTTCTAATGAAGGAAGGCAAATACAGAGGATAATTATGGTTTGTTTGGTGTTTTTTTGGTTTTGTTTTGTTTTGTTTTTGTTTTTGTTTTGAGACAGGGCCTCACTCTGTCGCCCAGGCTGGAGTGCAGTGGCATGATCTCAGCTCACTGCAACCTCTGCCTCCCAGGCTCAGGCTGGTCTCGAACTTCTGACCCCAAGTGATCCACCTGCCTTGGCCTCCCAAAGTGCTGGGATTACAGGCATGGGCCACTGCACCCATCCTTGGAGATAATTATGAAAAGCAATGTTAACATTTCTCAATGTTATGTCACAATGATTTCCTTTTTTTTTTTTTTTTTTGAGACGGAGTCTCGCTCTGTCGCCCAGGCTGGCGTGCAGTGGCCGGATCTCAGCTCACTGCAAGCTCTGCCTCCCGGGTTTACGCCATTCTCCTGCCTCAGCCTCCCGAGTAGCTGGGATTACAGGCGCCCGCCACCTCGCCCGGCTAGTTTTCTTGTATTTTTTAGTACAGACAGGGTTTCACCGTGGTTAGCCAGGATGGTCTCGATCTCCTGACCTTGTGATCCGCCTGTCTCGGCCTCCCAAAGTGCTGGGATTACAGGCTTGAGCCACCGCGCCCGGCCGTCACAATGATTTTCTACCAAAATGTGATACAAGAACATTCCAAAAACCTACTAAGAATGCAGGCTGGGCACAGTGGCTCATGCCTGTAATCCCAGCACTTTGGGAAGCCAAAATGGGAGGTTAAGGCTTCAGTGAGCTATGATCACACCACTGCACTCCAACCTGGGCAACAGAGTGAGATCCTGTCTCTTAAAAAACATTTTTTTAAAAGCAGTTGCAAGCCAGGCACAATGGCTTACAGCTGTAGTCTCAACACTTTGGGAGGCCGAGGCAGGAGGATTGATTGAGGACAGGAGTTTGAATCAGCCTGGGCAACATAGTGAGACCGTGCCTCTACAAAAAGTTTAAAAATTAAGTAGGCATGGCCAGGTGCGGTGGCTCACACCTGTAATCTCAGCACTTTGAGAGGCCAAGGCAGGCGGATCACGAGGTCAGGAGTCAGAGACCACCCTGGCCAACATGGTAAAACCCTGTCTCTAAGAAAATTACAAAAATTAGCCAAGCATGGTGGCACACACCTGTAACCCCAACTACTTAAGCTGCTGAGGCAGGAGAATCGCTTGAACTCGGGAGGTGGAGATTGCAGTGAGCCGAGATTGCACCACTGCACTCCAGCCTGGGCAACAGAGCAAAACTCCATCTCAAAAAAAAAAAAAAAAAATTAGCTAGGCATGGTGGTGCACATCTGTATTCCCAGTTATAGGTGAGGCTGAAGTGGGAGGATCACTGGAGCCCAGGAGTCTGAGGCCGTAGTGACAGAGCGAGACTTTGTCTCAAATATTTTTTTTAAAAGGAGTTGCTCACAGGGGACTTCTGTTTTCTGAAGTGTTCAGTGTATTTTCACGAGTGGACACCATGGATAGAAACAGATGAATTTTATTTCAACAGGTGAATGCTTCCTACCGGCACTCCTGGACAATCTTTGGGCAACTCCTGAAGACAGGTCCAGGCAGCTGATGAATTCACCTTCAAGATCTGGAAACCCAGCTATGTGGTCATTGGAGAATGTGCCTTCGTACACACGCCCGTTCTTGAAAGTTAATCGGCCCTGCAGACAGAAAAACAACTTTGTGCAGTTTAGGAAAAGTTTTCTTAGAAAAACACTGGTAAGGCCGGGTACGGTGGCTCACACCTGTAATCCCAGCACTTTGGGGGGCTGAGGCAGGCGGATCACAAGGTCAGGAGTTCGAGATCAGACTGGCCAACATGGTGAAACCCCATCGCTACTAAAAATACAAAAATTAGCCAGGCGTGGTGGCGTGTACTGTAGTCCCAGCTACTCAGGAGGCTGAGGTAGGAGAATCGCTTGAACCCAGGAGGCGGAGGAGCCAAGATTGCACCACTGCACTCCAGCGTGGGTGACAGAGAGTCTGCCTCAAAAAAGGAAATAAGGAAAGGAAAGGAAAGGGAAGGAAAGGGAAGGAAAGGGAAGG